GTATCACTGTATTGTGACACTTAATAAACGCAACGCAAACAGCTGTGACAAGAAATACTAAAAGAAGTAAACAAAAAGAGCAAAAAGAAATGTGCAAAAATAAAAACGATCTCAGTTAACTACAAAGGAATTACAACAACAATGATAACAACAAATGACTCGGCAAGATTAGATGTATGCTAGTGAAATTTAATTAAATTTAATATAAACCACAAAAATCACAAAACTTTCACTTAGCTTCGATTATTATCACACTAAGATGCTCGTAGGCACTTTTTATAGCAACTTTTACTCAAAATTAGCACAATAAACTTTGCAAAATACAAAGACAAATCAGAGCACAATATAAGTAGAACTTCACAGCTTGACGTTTGCGTGTAGACGTTATACAAAAAGGTTTTTGGCTGGATAAAATATTAGCTTTTTCCAGAGTTCGTTGTTTTTCTATACCATTACTTATTGAAAATGTTTGCGTGTATACTTATATATGTATATGTAAGTAAAAAATTTTAGCTACCATTTTAAGCCACATCGACTGTAAGAGCTAAACTCTTTTTAGCCCTTTTTTTAAGGAATTTGGCTACCACTAAAAAGATTTGCGGCAACACTGCCTGCAACCCTGTAGTACCATGAGTTTTTTGGCTTATACATAGTGGAATTTCGTTAATAAATACAAAAAAAAAAATCTTTAAAATAACAGAATAGTGCGAAGTCTTTAAAAATGCCTAAAGCTATAAGAAATTTGTCAAGAGAAACGAGAGCCGCAAGGGCAATGGCCCGTAATCTGAGAATAGTAGCGGCGCATAGTGTATTATTATTCCCATATCCTAGAAAATATTAATTAAATTATTTTATGTCACCACATTTCGAAACAACGTCAAAAATGTTTTCAGAAATGCCTGATTAAGACCAAACAACAACAACTTCAAAATTTAAATCAAAGTGTATTGCGAGACGGGGTTTGATTTGGAAAATTACCAAGCGCAATAATATGTAAATTTGTATATTTGAAACTGAATCTCAATGTTTAATTTGTCGGTGTTGTGATTTATGCAACAATTGCTAAAATACCATTTTGGTCTTATTTTTTTAGGTATGTTCTTTTTCATGAATATACATTTTTGGGATTTGCGTAATCAAGGACTGAGTATTTCATGTTAAAGTAAAACGATGTTTACTTAAATTTAATTTTTTAATTTCATTAGACCCGCAAACTCGTTATTCGCGATTATTCGATAAAATTTGTATCTCAGTTTATGTATTTGCCACTCCTCTTAGACTTTAAACCAGTGTTGCCAGTTTACGGAATTTCGGCCTTTTTTCGGGATTTTATGACTAAAAAGGGCGAATGGGATTTTCTGCATACCATACCAAGCAAGAAATTTTAGTAATTGATAAATAAGAAAGTCCGCTCTCTGTGGTAAATTAACGCCGCACTATAGGCAAAACACGAGTTTTTTTTTTTAAATCGTAGATCTTCGCTTAGAAAATAGATAATGGAATGACAATTTTTTTATCGTGAAAATAAATGATCATATAATATAGGAAAACTATAGAGAAGTTACAACAACAATAACTTAACCCTCAAAATACCGTTCAAAATGTCACTTTTTTTTTGAAATTTTGGATTTTGGCTCCCATTCCACTAGAAAACGCTATATTGAATACACCATTAGCGCTATTTCTGAAAGATTTCTCCTTATTTTATCTTAAGACTCGATTTTTGGGGCATTGGATGCTCTACCCGAGTGGCCAGATCGGAAAAAGAAAAGCTACCTTTAAACTCTAATAACTCGTAAACTATCAGCTTTCACAAAAAAAATGTATATAACAAAAATGGTTATACTGGTCGATATCTTTACGAAAGTGCAGCATTTAACCCTTTAATGCAGAGCCTGTCATATATGAAACGCTTTATAACCCTTTCAAGGTAGAGGAAAGAGGTTCTCAATATGCTTTTGAACGTACTTTTTCTCATGTTGACGTAAATATTAATCGTAGAAAATTTTTCCATAGTAAAATAATAATAAAAAAAAAATTAATAAATAAATAAATGAAAAAATAAAAATAATTAAAATAAAAATAAATAAAAAATAAAAATAAATAAATTGTACGTTGAAAACATATTGAGAACCATTTTGCCTCTGCCTTGAAAGGGTTAAAAAGCGTTTCATATATGACAGACTCTGCATTAAAGGGTTGTTATTCAGCTTCTTGCTTAACGCTGTCGTATGAAACTGATCGGTATTGCATTTATTGGTCCGCTTTGTACTTGTTCGTCTCAACTTAGCTGTCAACATTAATTTTGTTTTACTTATATTTGCAAATCAAATTCTTTCTTTTGGATTTCAACTTTATTGAAGAAAGGTGTGCCTCAGCACAAGAAATACAAGTGTAAGAACTGTTTTTTGTTATACATATTACATATTAATTAATTGAATAAATATAGATTTTAGCATTATTACCAGCAACTGGATAAGCTGAAAATACGTTTTTTGACTTGCTCGCACTATCTTCAATAAACTAAAATACTTAGTTTTCCCTTGGGTGCAATCGGAAGTACACGTGGGACCATAACCTAAAAATGAGTCTTCGGACAGAACAAGCCTCGGCTGACGTTGTAACTTGGATGCCCAGATCGCTTCAACTGGCGCCACAGCTTTGTCGGCTGGGTGCGCATCCACAGAAGCGCAGGCGCCAGCTACAACAGTGCCTGTCATTCATGACCCCCAAGACTTTATCGCGTCTACTCCAATGCCCTTGCCAACTGTTTCTCGTTTAGACTGTCAGGCAGACGGGTCCCCACGCGATCCTTCACCACTACGTACTCGATCGGGTACTTTGCGCAACGAAAAACCTAAGAAACGTGCACGAATCACACGAGCGCCAATTGCCAGTGACACCGCGAATGCAGAAAGTCAACTGCAAGGTACGTGGGGTGCCAACTCTGGCAGCTATGTTCCTAATTTAGTTCCGTCAACATCAACATCTGANTCAGTGACACCACGAATGCAGAAAGTCAACTGCAAGGTACGTGGGGTGCCAGCTCTGGCAGCTATGTTCCTAATTTAGTTCCGTCAACATCAACATCTGACGATGCCACTCCAGAGTTGAGAAATCAGCTGTCGGGAATGGGGTTACATAACAAACATAATGTCAGTATATTCTATCAGCCGTCTTCGACATGCGGTACGTCACAAAGCATTTGTCCACCTCTTGAGTCAACCTATTGCAGCTTTCCTCATAATTTTCTCACGACAGCTAGAACGTGTGGCCATAACTATTCCAATCAAATGCATGCAACTGCTCGTGCTACTGGAATATTTTCAGGGAATGTACCAACGCAAAGAACTACATTCAAATCACTACTCAAGAACTACTATCAAATGCGTTTGCACCTAACCTCGCACCCGTGTTCAGCATGTCTGGTGGGCGATTGGGAAATATTTCCTCATCTTCGGCTTCATTTCACAATCCGACAAATTCATCACAGCTAAACGGGTTTCAAAATTTCGGAGTTCGTTCTAGCCATTGTAATCACGCCTTTCCACCATGGTCATTTCATAATCCAACGAATTTTTCCAACGCTTTCTTTGGTGACCGCTCTTTTCGGGTAACCCAGAAGAATGGCCTGTTTTAATCACCAATTTTCAACAATCTACTGAGCGCTGTGGTTTCACCAACCAGGAGAATCTACAAAAATGTCTAAGAGGACAGGCCCTAGAAGCTGTACGTAGAAAACTCATGATGATATGGTCGGGCGGATATAATACAACAAACACTGCAAGTCAATTTAAGGCAGTATCCAGAGCTAGGGATGAATAAAATGGAAACTTTAATTAATTACACGTTAGCCGTCCAAATTACCGAACAACTATGCAAGCTATTGGGTTAGACAATTATTTAAATTATCCAATGTTGCTTAACGATCTGTTGACAAATTTGCCTTATGACCTTAAGCTTGATTGGGGACGTTATAGGTTAATGCATCAACGAGTTGACATTATGGCTTTCGATGAGTGGTTGTTCGCCCTCGCCACATGCGCCAGCCAGGTTACGCCTCTCGGTCACTCTGTTGTATCTTCGTCTCGTGTAGAAGAAAAGAAAGGTAGTCGCAAGCAGCAACGCGAAATGCTTATGACACATGATTTAGCAGGGGGGCGATGGCGAGCATATGGAATGCTCCAAATGCCTCAAATCTCATCTATTGGGAGATTGCAGTGAGTTTTTTGCTATGAAAAGGGAGGCTAGATGGGATTTTGTTCGCGATAAAAGGTTGTGTATCCGCTGTTTCAAAAGGCACTTTGTAAGAAATTGTAATTCTAAGAAGAAATGCGGGGTTGACGGCTGTCAAATGGCTTACAACCCACTTTTGCATACCACACGCAAAACCGGTGTTGACAGTCATACGAAAACAGCCAAAAAATTAGACGTCACAAATGAGACGACCTCATCCGTTTTATGTCACCTAAAGGATGGTAAACAACGCACACTGTTTCGTTATATACCCGTGACGTTGTTCGGCAAATGCGGGGTGGTGAATACATATGCCTTTGCTGATGAAGGGTCGGCGTGCACACTGATTGAGCGTAGTTTAGCGAACGAGTTGGGTTTGGATGGTCCTCAGAAAGAGCTTTGTCTATAATGGACTGGTAATATAACCCAAAATGAAACAGAATCGAAGGCAATCAGAGTGAAAATATCTTCGCTCAATAGAGGGGCGCGAGGCTTCTATCTGGAGAATGCTCGAACAGTGTCGAAATTAAACTTGCCACTACAATCTCTTGAACGGAAAGATATATCCGATCGCGAACATCTGAAGAATGTGCCGGTTTATCCCTATGAAGCAGTTCAGGCACGAACTCTAATTGGCTTGGACAACATTAAACTCTGTGTGCCTCTAGAGATCCGGCAATCGGAAGCTGACAATATAATTGCTGTCAGGTGCAAGCTGGGATGGTCGGTATTTGGCCGGAATAATAATAACGAACAGAATCCATCGCGGGTGATGCAGTGCTAACAGCCGTTTAGAGGAGCTCCTACAGTCATACTTTTCATTAGAGTCAGTAGGCATTCGGGCAGTCGACCCCCTCACCTCAAAGGAAGACGAACGCTCTCTACGAATCATGGAGTCTACAACGAAATACCTTCCGCACAAAAAAAGATGGGAGACAGGTCTTTTATGGAAAGACGATAATGTCAAGCTATCCGACTCCCTCCAAATGGCCCGACGCAGGTTACAGTGTTTAGAATCAAAAATGTCGCGGAATCCTGATTTAAAACAGTTTACCATAAGTACCATCGTAGAGTACGAGCGCAAGGGCTACGTAAAGAAGCTTGAAAATCACGATACATTTCGCAGG